TATTTTTTCAAGGGCTCTCGCTAAGACCACCTAACGATGGTGTTAGTCGCAACAAGTCCCTGATAGTACCATTAAAGGTAATCCATGCGTGGAACAAACATATGACTACTTTAAGAGTTAGTCCAGTCTAATCCAATAAGACTTAGTGAAGCCAAACAAGAGGCCCAAAGGCTCTTTTATAGAAACTTCAACCCAAAAATACCATAGGCTACTGGGCAAGCAAATGCCTTCCCACCCCCCCCCCCCACCTCCACCCCCCACCCAAGACAAAAAAAAGTTCTAGCCCTACCCAATCCACTGGGCTCAAGGTGAACTTGACACAGTGCCCAGCCCCGAATTAACTAACCTAGAGACTGAGGTGTATTGGCGTCAGACCGATGTCAGCGTGGCGTCACATTCCGGATTTTTTTTTTTTTTTTTTTGCACTGGGCGCGTGAATTACACTTGCGAGTTGAGCAATATCTCCAGACGAACGAAAGAACGAACCAAGCAATAAGTCGGTGTTGTAGATGAACAAAGAAGTGAGTCATTGTAGTAGACAAACGAAGTAGAAGAACGAAGCAGGTCTTAGCAGTCCCATTGTTTTCAGGGGCTCTTGCTAAGACCACCTAACGATGGTGTTAGTCGCAGCGAGTCCCTAATAGTACCATTAAAAGTAATCCCTACGCGGAACAAACATAGGACTACTTTAAGAGTTAGTCCAATCTAATCCAATGAGACTTAGTAAAGCCAAACAACTGACCCCAAGGCTCCTTTAGAGCAACTCCAGCCCAAAAATACCATAGGCTATTGGGCAAGCGAATGCCTCCCTTCAACCACCGAAAAAAAAAAATAAAAAATTCTAGCCCTAATCAATCCACTGGCCTTAAGGTGAACCAGACACAGTGTCGAGGCTCGAATTGACTGACCCAGAGATTGAGGCGTAGTGTCGTCAGGTTAGTGTCAACATGACGCTAGTAACGTTTCATATTTATTTTTTTGCGCCGGGCACGTGAATTACACTAGTGAGTTGAGGCGTGTTAACTGACACGATTTCAGGAGTGGGACTCGAGTGCAGGTGCACTAATGACTTTGGATTTTGGAGCAACGTGGCGTGACTTGAGCAGTTGGATTTCCATCGGCTATAAAAAAAAATTTGAAATTCAACCCTAACGGCTAGGTAACGTGTCACAATCTGGACCGTTGGAATTTACGATCAATGTCCATATTTTCCGAACTTGAAAAAGATAAAAAAATGGAATTGTTACTGTTAGATTACGTGTCACAATTTGGGCTGTTGATTTCAATTTTTTTGTAATAAAACGGTCTAGGTTAATTAAGTCAAAATAATATTAAATAATACAAAAAATTATAATTTTTTCCTCTAAATATGTAACTATGCTCCTTCACCTTACACCACGATTCAATATTTTCAAATAGTTTCGACGAATCTTTCTCTCAAGGTTATCATATTTGCAAAAAAATGACTAATAATGCAGGTTCGGATTGGTCGAGCCACTCATGTCCTGATTACGAGTAATGAGCTGAAGTTGCGAGAAATTTGGAAGACGGTTCGAGCCACTCCTGTCCGAAATTATAATAAAATTATCTTATATTATTTTATAAAAAATTAATATTTTAATACGAATTACCTAAATTATTTAGTTTAGGGATTGAGATGCATATTAATGTTCATTAAGGAGAGTAATGGCCTTCCTCAATAACTTAGAGAGTAATAGCCTAGGGATATTTTAGGGGTGGAGTTACTGTTAGTAAAAAGATTAAATTGGAATAATTTAATAATTACTTTAAGGTATATTTAAAAATGAATATAAAAAAAAATTGACCAACTTAAAATGTATGGGTTAGTAACTTATGTTTAGCTACGCTTTATAGAATTTAATTTTGATCATACGCTTTATAGAATTTAATTTTGATCATACACTCAATATAATTTATAAGTCACAACTTTATTCTCTGAAAGTTAAAATTTGTTCGACTTTATTATGTTTTTTTTTTGTCAAATAGCCTTTAAAATTGCTGATGTGGATGGGTAAAAATGTAATATCATATGTTTAATTTAGCTACGCCTCATAAAACTCAGTTTGATCACACTTTATCTTCTAAAACTCAATTTAATCCTCACTTCTCTCTAGAGACTCAATTAGCTCTTATGTTTTCACATTTTTTGTTGGTCATTAGAACTTTCATTACAATAAAAATTAGTATAAAAATTAGTATAAGGCTCGAAAAGAACCTGATAAACAACAACAGATAAAGTAAAAAGCTCAAGTAAAGTGAGAGTATCAATCCAAGATACAACAGGAGATCCTCACAAACTAAACCCGTAGGCAACGATAACAAACAACAAAAACAATCCCTAATCTCAAGCAGCAAAAACCAGACTACCGTTGCCGTCACATCTAATAGTCCTCAATAAAAGTTGAGACAATCGTAATTAAACAAACTGACGGTTCTATGAATTTAACAATGGTAATCCAGAACAGTTTTGTTCAATTCATGGCTATAAAGAAAGATACGTGGCACATCTCTTGACCAATCGTAATACTATACTAGAAAACAAGATAAAAAAATAAAAATAAAAAATAAAAAGACAAACAAATCATGGTTAACTTCCTCCTAACAAATTAGTTGGGGCGCACGGGCCATTCACCAGCATTAATTCTCTTCAGTTGAATTTCTGTTCTCAAATCACTTCAAATTGCAGCACGAAACGCGACACACAAACAAATCATAACTACCACCAGGGGTCGTAGCCGCCGCCATGGGAGACGCCATTGTGCTGTACGCAGCTCCAGGGATGGGGCACATCGTCTCCATGGTGGAGCTGGGCAAGCTCATCGTCCACCGCTACGGCCCCCACAAATTCTCCATCACCATTCTCTACACCTGCGGCAGCGTTGTCGACATCACTAGCATCCCCGCCTACATCCGCCGCATCTCCCACTCCCACCCTTCCATTTCCTTCCGCCAATTCCCTCGCGTCACCAATAAAATTACCCGAAACATAAGCGGCGCCGCAATCATGTTCGACTTCATCCGCCAGAACGATCCCCACGTCCGCCGTGCCCTCCAAGAAATCTCTAAATCCGCCGCCGTTCGCGCCTTCATCATCGACCTCTTCTGCACCTCCGCTCTTCCCATCGGGAAGGAATTCAACATCCCAACATACTATTTCTACACTTCTGGTGCCGCAGCTCTTGCTGCTTTTTTGTATTTTCCCAAGATCGATGAGCAAACCACCGAGAGTTTCAAAGACCTCCGCGACACCGTTTTCGAATTCCCCGGATGGAAGTCTCCTCTGAAGGCTATACACATGGTCGAACCGGTGCTCGACCGGAACGATCCTGCTTATTCGGACATGATCTATTTCTGCTCACAGCTTCCCAAATCCAACGGAATCATCGTCAACACGTTCGAAGAGCTCGAGTCATCTAACGTCCTCCAGGCCATTGCTGGAGGCCTGTGTGTTCCTGATGGGCCAACTCCGCCTGTGTACTACGTTGGTCCATTGATTGACGAAGAGAAGGAATTGAGTAATGATGCAGCTGCAGCCGAGGAGGAGGACTGCTTGTCATGGCTCGATAAGCAGCCAAGTCGAAGCGTGCTGTTTCTCTGTTTCGGAAGCAGGGGATCCTTTCCGGCTGCTCAACTGAAGGAGATAGCGAACGGGTTGGAGGCGAGCGGGCAGAGGTTCCTGTGGGTGGTGAAGAAGCCGCCGGTTGAAGAGAAAACAAAGCAGGTCCATGGAGTTGACGACTTTGATTTGGAGGGTGTGTTGCCAGAAGGGTTCTTGGAGAGGACGGCAGACAGGGGGATGGTAGTGAAGTCATGGGCGCCGCAGGTGGTGGTGTTGAAGAAGGAATCGGTTGGTGGGTTCGTGACACATTGCGGATGGAACTCGGTACTGGAAGCAGTGGTTGCGGGGGTGCCGATGATTGCTTGGCCGCTTTACGCGGAGCAGCATATGAACAGGAATGTTCTAGTGACAGACATGGAAATCGCGATCGGGGTGGAGCAGAGAGACGAGGAAGATGGGTTCGTGAGCGGGGAAGAAGTGGAGAGGAGAGTGAGGGAGTTGATGGAGTCGGGAGGAAGAGTGCTTAGAGAGAGGTGCAAGAAAATTGGGGAGATGGCTTTGGCTGCTTTGGGAGAGACTGGTTCGTCCAGCAGAAACTTGGTCAACTTTGTTAGTAGCATTACATAACTGTGCAAGTTTTGGGTTCGCGTTTTCGCATTTGGACCAGGCGAGTCGGATGCAAGGATAAACACTCTTAACCAATCCGCGATATAGTTTTCTGTTACTTAGTTTGGCACCTCGTGGGATTTTGGTGCTCTCTTTACGCCTCACCATCATATTCGATGAAATTCATTCACTTTGCCATCAAATACCAGCACTCAATTCAGACTTGAGGGTTAAGTTATGCCGGTATTTGATAGCAAAGTGGATGAAATTTCATCGAATCTGATGGTGAGAGGTTAATTGGCTGATTTCAAATAATCAAGGGCTTAATTTACCAGAAAATATTGTTTAGAGGGATAATTCAGGCCGTCAAAAAACAGCTTACCCGCTCCAATTATATGTTTCACAAACTTAAACCAAAGCCGGTGCAACTCAAACTAAAGCATCACTGCTGACCATGCATTTGTGAACCTTTAACTCAAAAATGCTAATCCTTCCAACTTGTTCGTCTAGATTATGAGTCAGCCTCTCACCATTACCAACTCTGAGAGCCACCACTCCATATTAGAGGTTGCAATCATACAGCCTACCCCACTTAGTGTAAAACCGAACTCAGTGATGTTCTAAAATTTATACAGTTAACCACACTTAGTGGATAAAGCTTCGTTGTGGTATTTAAAACAATCATCAGCCATATGCAGGTCGATAGTCTCTCACCTGAATCCTCCTTTATGGTGATGACAACATACACATCGAAACTCAATATCACTATGCTACAAGCCTACAAGGTAACTTAAGTTAATTACCGCTCTGAGAATTTCACAAGCGATTTTACTAATTATATAGCTCCATCACGGAACAGAAAACTTTATGAATGTAAACATCCGGATACACGATAGTAAACATTACAGATGCATAAATGAAGCGTGTTAATAACAAAATAAAATAAAAAAAATCTTGCCATTCTAATGTACAACTACAATAATAATCTGTTTCCTTGGAAGCGACAACAAAAATCATACCGATTGAACTTTTCCAAGTGGAAGCAGCTAAGCGCGGAATCATGGAATCTAGGTATGGCACTCTTACATCTATATATTGCAGAAGAATGCAACATAGAAAATGGTGTATCTTGAATTACAAGGTAAGTCTCTTAGGAATCGTTATCAACATGCCACCAGCATGATGAACCTTGGCTGAAATTAATATATCTAGTAATTACACTAAACAGTAGGACAGTAGGAGGCATTTCTGGTACCTTCTGATCATTCTTTAGCTATGCATTTGCACCTGCGCTGATCCTCCGAAAGTTCCTGCCATGTTTCGAATTTTTTAGTATGCATCTTCCCTTCAATTACCTCAATTACACCGCAGACAGACATAACATCTTATTCAAAAGACGGAGCAAGAAAGGAAAAGCTAATGTAAATTTTTTCCGTTCAAATATTTCCCAAGTGTCTCCTCAGAGGAATAATACCTGAATCTGCTTCTGAAGAAACTTCACATACTCCACTGCCTCATCTAACATATCCGCAGTATTAGTTTGCTGCAAGGAAAATCAACAGAAGCACCCCACCAAACAATTGTAAGCTATTGTCCTCTTAGTTTCATAAACACATGATAAGTTTTGACAAAATTCATATACACAATTTTCAGATTTTGAAGTTATTCAAAATATCTTCTTGTTTCTATTATTTGTGCAAAGTTTTAAGATAGTTCTACAAATTCTAGGGTTAGGGATTCTAAAGACACAGAGTTTTATACATAAATGTTTTTTGGTCACCTGGTCAATAAGGAATGCATGGTCATTCACCCTTGAATTTGATATCAAGGGTTGGATATGATTTTAATGTTTTAATCTCAACCCTTGATATCTAATCAAGAGCGAGTAACCATGCATCCTTGGTCACCAAGCGACCAAGAGAATGGGACTCGAGTTTAATATGTATTAGGATTTCAAGTTAGATTTTTATTTATGAAAAGTAAAAATTTCATAACACACACAACAATCTCAATAAATTGTAGAAACTATTTAGAAACCAACGCCCACTATAATGCCAAACAACACACTCGTTCCCACAAAAAGGATACCTCATCTCCTCATATTCCTTCAAAATCCTTGCATTCCTTTATACAAAAATGTTCAAAATGCATCAGCTCCATCATATTTGCACCTTTTCTGCTCCACCGAAGGCACAACCTCTCTCGTTTCTAAAGTATGCATGACTAGGGAATCAATCATAAAAGTCAACCTTGCCTCCCTAAATAACTTTCTCCATAAAGTGAGACCAACGGCCCAAATAACACTATGTTCACCAACTTATACATATTCTTTTCAATAATCTCTCTGCTGTAATGGCTCCACCTGCAGGCCGCAGCCATGCAACTTATTCCCTCACATAAAGTTTGTCCCATACAATGAAAAATGCTCAAGTGCTACTCTCTTGAAGGATTTCATTCACTCAAATTCTTCAATACGAGATTCAAGTGATTCAGTTTGAAGCAAGACAAGCATTGATATCACATCAGCATTATAGCAACGATTACCGTGCATAGAGAAACTCTATCTAAATAGCTCCCAAGCCAAAGAGTACTCGCGACTTCTAAAAAGGTCGTACCCAGTGCACAAGGCTCCCGCTTTACGCAGGGTCTGGGAGAGGTGAATGTCGGCTAGCCTTACCTCCATTTATGGAGAGGCTGCTCCCAAGTCTCGAACCCGAGACCTACCGCTCATGGGCGAAGGCACTTGCCATCGCACCAAGTGCGACCTCTAAAGAGTACTCGCGACTTCTATCTGGAAAAAAAGTTTTACGGTACTTTTGTCATATTATTGTAATTTTCTTGACTGATATTTTCTTATCTAAACGAGATTGTCTTTGTCGGTAAAATTAAGTCCTAACTTGTTACCCTATGGGTTAAAGTTGATGGCAAGAAGCATAATTACATATCATTTTTTAGAGCACCAAAAAAGTTTTTAACCTTGTAGATTTAAGTTTTCTAAGCTTTAATCATGAATCACACTTCCTGATTTTTAAGTATGCCATTATCTTTGACCAAAAATTGAAAGTATGTCATTATCCAACACACAATCTATGATTCTGTTCTTTTTTCCATATATTTAATATTCTGATCATACAGAAGCTCCAAACATATCTCACTAGCGGGGAAGCCGAATTTAACCCCCACAATGACAAAATAAGAACAGTGCTAATTTGAAATACAATGGGTGCTTACAGTTTACTGCAGATCATGATAACTTGCATCTCAATTAAAAAACCAAGAAGTTGCAAAATACGAAAGTACACAAGAAGTCTTTTAAATGTTTATTAACCATTAAAATTGATGCAGAACCCTTCATAAACCGCTGACCTATCACGGGGATAATTTTCTTGTAGAAACCACACATACTTGAAAGGTGTTGTACCGACCAACTTCGGTTTCATCTTCTACATTGATGCACTCCTCAAACAAGCATCCATGACGCTTTAAGGAAAGTTGATGCAACTTAGACGTGGTACGGATTCTAAAAATTTGTCTTAAACTAGGTAGTGATTTCCTAGATTTAAAACCTATATAAATGTATATTATATAGTAATGAATACATCAATCGTATACTTTACCGGCGCCCTAATACTTGTTTCAAGTAAGTCTGCACTGCAGAACTAGAAGAACCAAAAAGTGTAGAAAACCGGCGCGCCCTAACGACACTAAAAACGAAAAAAGGAAACTGCAAAGGAGGAATCTTGGAGGGTGTATGTATGTACCTTATCCATGTTGGGCACCAGCTCTTGTAGCTTCCTTATGCGGTCACTGATCCTAGTCCTCCGGACCTATAATATTACGAATTAACCCACAAAATTAAGCTTGAAATCTTTAACGATTAATATAAATAAATTCCTACACCTTTCAAAATTCTGGAGAAATATATACAATTAGTGTGTAGTTAAAGAGTGATTAAGTTAAGTTAATGAAAATAATTACAAACCCTTTCAGCAATGCTCCTGGGATGTGTCGCACAACCACGCTTGGCCCTCACCCTGCAACTCACCGAATCCTCCAACCCACCTTCCTCCACTTTCTGCCATTTCACAAATTAACCAAGATTACCAAAATTAAACCAGATTAACAAATTAATAACCAAACAATATATTAAATAAAAAATAAAAAACTGACCACATGTGAGTCGGAGGAAAAGTGGTGCTGCTCCCGAACCCTCTTATTAGCAGAGGAAGAAGAGCTGTTTGGGGACAACGACGACGACGACACAAGGTCGAGGTGGGCCGGAATTCCAAACCCCGAGAAATATCCCCCCGACCCGCCGCCGCCACTAAAATCAGCCGGTGAGCTATGCTGTCGACTAAGATACCCATCTGCAGCCTCATACGACGCTGGATCCACCGTCGTACAAGGTGTGTTGTCAGCAAGAAGCTCAGTCAAACACTGGGTGGGCTTCAGTGGGTCCTCTTCGTCCTCTTCAAGCAGCGCTTCTAACCATGCGGCTGGGGCGGAGCTGAACCGCCCGAGTCCGCCTCCTCCTCGACTCACTTCGCCGCCGCTGCTTCCGCCGGCTGCCCGTTGCATCTGCCTTGGACTCACACTCACACTCAAACTCAAACTCAGCTCTTTGCTTTGCTTAACTGTTATTAAAATAATAATAAAAGTGAATCATTTTCTATTTTTGTTTCTGTCCGTTCTTCCTTTTCTCTCTGAGCTTTTGATAGTTTTCAATATTTGGAGAACGAAAAAATGGGAAGAGGAAAAGATGGAGACGGTCTTCGGGGTCTCTCGTCAACGTTGCATCAAATCAACAAAAGGAAATGGTCGAGAATAACGCATATGACACGAACATATTATTATATTTTATGTTAATAAAATAAATATATTTTAATAGTATATCATATAATGTGTGATAAAATCTCAATTTTTTTTATAACATCAAAGTCAGGTTATCCAAAATGTGAAGTCTAACGCTCACACATGTTTCACGTCAACCCATTTATATTGTCTATATGTTAAACTTGAAAGTTCATCACGTAAAAAACGCTTTGCGAATGCATCCTGGCATTGATAGTTTCAATATTTGGTGAATGGAAAAAAGGAAAGAGGAAAAAGATGGAGACAGCACTTGAGGGAGTGAGCGACTCAGACCATCATTTAACTTATTGCTTTATTACTTTTGTTTTCTTCTCTCCTCAACGTTGCACCAAATCAAGAAAATGAAACCGTTGAGAACAATTTAACGATTTATACGACATCAACACATTGTTATATTTTATGCTAATAAAATAAAAATGTTTTAATAACATAGGACATAATGTGTGATAGATTCTCAACTTTTTAATAGTATTAAAGTCAGGTTGTCTCAAGTGTAAAGCCTAACGCTCACACTTGCTCCATGTCAATCTGTTTGTATTGTCCACATGTTAGGCTTGAAAGTTCGCCACACGTGAGAGAGCTTGTTACGAATAAATCCTCGCATTGATGAGAAGATGAACCTTACATGTGCTTATAAATAAATTATGTTATTTATATTGTCAATTGATTTATAGTGGAATCTCAATTTGCTTTAGGCAGAACAATAACATGGTTAAACTGAGTACATAATATTGCAATATCCATTAAACCGGTGATATGATTAAATCGAGTACATAATAATTATAATTTTCTCTTAAACTAAAAGATATGTGTCAGACTATAATGTAGTGCCTCCTGAAAATGACAGGATAACATCCAAAATGAAATATGTGTTTTGCAAACTCTTGGCTCCTCCTTGATTTTGTAAAATTGGTAAATCAACGGTGAGCGAGTAACAATGACGTGCAGGTTACTTATAGGGTGGGTAACTTATGTAAGGCTGGACTGCTTCAACGTCAGCGTTTTTATGGTCTAATGACGGTGTCTTCAATGTCACAGAGAGTGTCACGCCCCACACGAGACATGGCGCGTGGATGAACGTATGGATTAAAATGGATGCAAGGGTTGACATTGATTACGGTAGTTAGGTAGATATTTAAGTAGTTGGGTAGATATTTAATCTGTGGAATTTGTGTTATGCTTTTTGTGGCAAATTTAAGGAGAGGACAGCTGGGGTTCCCATTCCACAAATGCACACCACAATCAGAAAGTGGCTTTGCTTTTACTTGCTTTCTTCTGTTTGCTCTGCCAAGGGGTTTGTGCCCTGATAATTGGAATTGGATCCTCGCGGGATCCCTGTCTGGGGATCGTACATGGACAGTTGATCAAAAATCGTGCGGTTATAATTTTTTTTTTTATTTTTCATGCAAAACGAGATTACTTTACTTTTATAAATATAAAAATAATTTAATTTGGACCGTACGATTTTTTATCAACGGTCTGTGTGCATTGATCCCTTAAGATCCCCAGGGAGGGGGATCCGGCGAGGATCCAAATCCCTGATAATAGGGTTGGCTGGGATCCAAACGACTGAAATGTCTTTGGGAAGGGTATGTATGTGATTTTACAAAAATGGGACTCCTTGTTAGGCCTGAAAACATGGGTCTGTTCAAGGCCCAACCCACTGAATTGTGTCTGAAGTCTGATGGGTATTTAATTTGAAGGCAAATGGAAGTACGAAGCCCAACGAATTCAAAAGTTATGGGTTGAAAAAAACCGGAATTAGATCCTCTCCTGAGCTTATGCTCATGAGCCTCATCATCAGCGCACCAGGATCGTTGGATTTTGATTAAATTGCTATAAACAGATAATCCTTTTAAAAGTTATAATAATTGTAGTCGTTGGATCACACGTGCGCTAGTCAACAAATTCCTGAGCACAAGCTCAGGAGAGGATCCAATTCCCCAAAAACCCCCTTTCACATGGAAGGAAGACTAGTCAGTCGAGTTTTATAGAAGAAAAGTATTTTAATGTGGCAAGTATGTAGTTTCAATGGAATAAAAGCTCGAGTATTTAAATAAAGAGGTGGTTCTATAGAAGGCAACGTAAAGGAAGAAGATATATTAACTCAAACATTCTTACTTTTCATACATTCCTTTTTGTAGTTCAAACACTCTTACTTTTATAGCTCTACTACGTTTCTTGTAGCATTCTTTTCCCAAAACACATCTTGTACTTGTAAGAACTCGCCCAACTGGCAATTGATCTTGCCCGAATAAGTTTAAACTTGGCTCGAATATTTGTATTTATCATGTACTTTCAAGTTATTATTTTGTGCAAGTTATTGTTCTTTCGATTAACATTTGACAAGCTTTGACATTGCCCTTACATTCAGTTTTTCACTTTTCTATCTGTTTGTCTTGCTTTCTATCGTTCTCTTTACATAAAAATGCAAACTGACATAGAGTTCTAATCAGTTTTTGGTTCCTGGCATTAACATAAAGAAAATATAAAGTCCTTGTCACTAAGGCATAAAAAAGAACTTAACATATATTTAACCCCTTTATGGCACAGTCCCTTCGATCACAAAGTTTACCACAAACGCAGGAGGAATTATGGCACCAACAATTATATTATTAATATTTGATCGTTATTTCGTTAATTTTTATTCATTATGTCATCGATATTTTATTTATATGTTATCAACATTTAATCTTCATTGACTGTGTATTCAAATATAAATTAGGATATGAAGATACGTTTTTTACACATATTTTTGTTACGACTGAGTTCTTGAAAATTTTCAATCAGTCTAGTTACATAAGCTACTTCCTACAACATCCTCTCTGTCATGCCAGTGTTTTTTTATTTTTTTATTTATTTAACTTTTTGAGGGTTTAAATGTAACAAAAAAAATCATACAGGGGTTCATAATGATTTCATAAAAACAAAAAGAAAACGAAGTAAGCCCGCACTCTGTGTCCTTATTATTCAAGTGTTGGTTTCGAATCTGCGTCTGGCAAAACCCCAATCGCAGGGAACCTCATCGGAAATTGCGTTAATCGGTGTACGGTGGTGTAGCTATGGCGACTCTGGTGAGCTCGGCCGGTGGGCTACTAGCGATGCTGAACGAGTCCCATCCTTTGCTCAAGCTCCACGCTTTGTCCAACCTCAACAAATTGGTCGACAACTTTTGGCCCGAGATCTCCACCAGCGTCCCCGTCATGTACTCTCTCTCTCACACACATTTATTTATTTATTTATTTTTTCAGAATGCTTGTGATTTAGGGTTAGTGTTTCGCTTGTTCTGAGAAGAATTGTTCGAATTTTTGTGTGTGTATGTATTTTGGAGTATTGAGTAGTTGAAAGGACGTGTGAACTCGAATAATTTGTTTTTGTTTTCGATTTTGTGCGAATGGGATAAGGGTTTCAATTCTTAGTGCCGGTTATGAAATTAGGATTATTTTAATGAGAACGGAATTGGATTTATGTGTTGGATTGCAATTGTTTTGTGGGTGGTGGTGGAAGAGTGAGCGTTGTGTAGGATGGAGTAATTGAGATCATGGTTTAGGCGGAGTAGGCTATGGAAGCAGATAATGGGGTTTCCATTGTCTTCAATTCGGCGTTGGGCAGTTGAATTGCACTTTTAAGGCAGTGTTGAGAAATAAGACTTTGGATTGATATTACAACGGAGATGGAGAAATGCAACTAAGTTTTTCTGCGTTATTTTCGAAAACTTTGATTTTCTAGATACTTAAGAGGAACTGAGGAAGAATATTACTTGCTCCTCGTTGCCAGTGTCCAGTCAGTGCCCCTGGCAGTGGCAGGGGTTTCCTTATTTGATTCTTTCTCCCTCCATAATCTTGATCAGTCAATGGCTCCTGGAATTTTTTTTGGAGGCATTGAGATATATTCTTGGAATAATCAGACTAGGTTCATGAATAGTAATATACGAGCCAACAAAATACTTATAAGGATGTCTTATTGTTTCTCAGAGAAAGTTTGTATGAAGATGAAGAGTTTGATCAACATCAAAGACAACTGGCGGCATTGCTTGTGTCAAAGGTAAAAACTGTGCAGCCTACCTTTTGGAATTAGTGTGGCAGTTCGAAAGTGATTTTTCAATCAATCAATTTGGTTGCAATTTTGCACACAAATAAGGTTGGGAAAATCTATTGGCAACCTGGGCCCTGTTGGCTGAATTTTGTAAGGTTGCATTTTTTCCTTCGAACAGCCAAGAAATTCTTGAAAAACATCAATGAATTCGTAATACTAAGTATTTGCATGCAAATCTGACAGGTTAAATTTGAAGTTTGTGTGTCTCTTTTTCATTTGTGGGTGCAAAATTTCCTATTTTCTTCTGGAATGTAAGCTTAACTACTTCAATCTTTTGTTTGCATGATTTTTTCCTCACTCCAGGTTTTCTATTATTTGGGTGAACTTAATGATTCACTCTCCTATGCCCTTGGAGCTAGTTCGTTATTTGATGTGTCAGAGGATTCTGATTATGTCCATACTCTTCTAGGTAAGCATATTTTTGTAAGTATGATACTCTAAGGTATTAAAACTGACTTCACTTTGTAAGCGAGGACTGTGATGAGTAGAATCTATGATGTACTTTGAGGGTTAGAAAACTGTGAAAGGACAATGCAAGCAGGTTTAAGATATCTCAAACTAGATAATCAACTTTGCTTCGTGATCTAGTAGAACATCATCTCCGATTTAGTATTGTTAGAAGTGGATTTGTATGGAATTTTGAGGATACACAACCACAATTTATTTACATGACATATTTGGTTGTTTGCTCCTCTTCAGCTAAAGCTATAGACGAATATGCCAGTCTTAAGTCTAAGGCAGCAGAATCAAGTGCTGAAGCAGCAAATGTGGATCCTAGATTGGAGGCAATTGTAGAGAGAATGCTGAATAAGTATGCGGGCCTCTAGTGTCTTT